CACTTAGGACCACCCATATGAAGACAAGTAACAAGCTAAACATTAGCTAAAGAGCAACAGTGAAATCACTACTGGAATGGAAGGAGGAGAGAAGAATCGCTACGAAAAAATAGTGACAGGCTGGACAGAATAATGCAGCAGCTCTTAAACTGAGTGAAAGTTTATCTGCCAGCTGAAAAAATAGGGAAATTATTTTCTCCTGCTTATTTTTTCCTCATTCAAACTGTTTATATTCTAGGGCAGGGAATAAACAAAGAAGCAGATAAATAAGAGCCAGTATTTAGATTAAATTGTACAGCAGATTTAATGGAACTCTACACATTCACGGTCCTCACCCCATGCTGTGCATACAGTCAAGCAGTCAAACAAACTCTTTAGGTCTGAATGCTCACTGGAAACAAAGACTAGAATCTTCATTAAAAGATTAAGGTCTGAAGTCACAGTGACTTTCCATAAGAATTTAAAGTGATTAACAGCCTCAGTGTCATAAATCTAAACAGAGCTCAGAAATATTAATAAAAATAAAACCAGCTGCATAGGTGCTAAGTATTACTTCATCCAAAGCAGAGACCTTGAAGTCTCTAAGAAAAGGTCTTAAAAACAAATTCTTTGGCTACCTAGAAAAATGGAAAGCAGAAGTAGTAGGAAGATACACAGAAAAATATCTACTAAAAAAATCATAAAGTCTCCAAAAGGCATTTTAGGAAATAAGCAAAAAAGATGAATGAAGAAGTTCAAGTAGAAATGTACAAGTGGACTAAAACGAGAGATAAATATGTAGCAAAAGCAGAATGTTTCAGGTAACAACTTTTGATAAATGTCATTGTTTTCAGACATATGTAGTAGTAGTAGTCAAAGCATTTGACTTACGGCACTCAAGAGTACACAAGCAGTACAGATTTTCATCTGTGTGTGATTAATTTCTAGATGTACACCCTCAGTTTCATAGCACACATGCCAGAAAGACGCACAAAACACTGGGCCTTAACATAAGCACAGCCAAGTGCATTTTCAGATAACAAAATATCAAACACTGGGAACCTGTTTCCTGCTGTTTTATGTCCTCTCTGATGTTTACTGCACTCCCACTGCATGGCTGCGATGGAGATCCCTGTTCTGTTTCACTATTATCTGGAAAAAGAAGAAAAAGGAATTTTGAGCTATTTTCTGTATTCATCATCTTCATGGACATGCCCAGGGCAATGACTCTGGACCAGAGAATCCACTTTCTGCAAACAGAACATGGCATGGAGGGCCCAGAAGGAACACTATATTTAAAGCATATTTTATCTTTTGTTCATGTTTTGCCATATCTAAACTTCATACCACCCCTATCACCTTACATTGTTTTTTGTTTGTTTCTCTCCTTCGTTCTCTCATGAAGCACAGGAAGCTGATACTGAAAAATTAAAATGGTATAGACTTGAGAAATGTAATACTTCACAGCTGACAACATTCTCACTTTTAGAAAATCTCTCCTGCTATGAAATTCTGTCAGGTATGTTGCTGTCTGTCAGCTGTCTTGAACTCTTCTGGACTAGAGAAACAGCACTTTCTAAGCATTTCCTCTCTAATTTCTGCTATAGGTAGGAATGAGAGGATGCCATACAGAGAATGCATTACTAGATCTTTCATAACCTTATGCAAGTTGCGTATGATGCTTCAGACTATGTGCTGTAGTATATGTCTACTGGTATCAGCCCACAGTTTAAGTAGCTGATAAGAATCTGTTTATCATCCAGCCTCCATGTGGATATTCTATTTAAACACATGGACTTTCATGATTTGGCACCTGTACTTCAAGATACGCACAGTGTAAAATTAAGCTTCACAAATTACATCTCATCATGAGCAAAAATAGTATTTGCCATGCCTTCTAAACTTTGTATACAAATATAATTGACGACCTATCAGATTATTAATAACTTGTAAGTATAAGCCATTCCTGTCATACCTAAGATTGTGACACAGACATGTAAGAGTAAAAGGAAACAAGACTCATTTTTCTGCTTTCTTTCCAACACTGCTACCACCTTTTGACACAAATAAAACACTCTCTGCCTACTTACTATTCAAAGATTTACAGGATCTAAGCCTTGAAGGACTCAGCTCATAGTGAAGTGCAGAGCTTTCAATGTTCACTTCGAAAATATAACAAATAATATCACTGTTTCTAAAAGATTAATGAATCTGCAACAGATCAAATTTTCACTCATTTACAGCACCGGGAACAGCAACCGAGAATGAATTTAGTCAACTTTATTCCCAGTTTTTAATTAAGAAGAAAAATATTCTAAGCCAAATTTAAAGTAAAGCCAGTTTTAATTACCTTTGGCTGTGCTACTGTCCACTGCTTGTAACATTAAGTCCCTTTCAACAGCAGAACTGAAGTCCTCCTGGGGTTGAATACAATTTTCCTGCTTAAGCCCTCTTCTGATCAAAGTGAGCTGAACTGTTTGTCCGGTGTGTCGCAGAACATCCACTGCTTGTTGGTTAGTAAAACCCTGAAGATTTGTTCCATCCACCTGCAGAATTAAGTAGCTTATTAGTAGAAAGAGAACAAAAACCTGAAAGACATACAAATGTTCAATACATTAACCACTTTTACCTGAACATTTATTAACTAGCTACCAGTCAACACAATAGCAAAGTGGGGAGAAATATTCTGGGTGCCTGTCACAACAAGGCCATGAAGAGCTGAAAAGAGTCAGGAAGCACTGTTCAAGGTGCCCCATATAGCCTGTCTGACTACTCCAACACACCCACCTTCAAGTAGGAATTATCTGGGGGAAAAAAAAGTTTTATGAACAAACCAAATAAGTAATACATAAATCAAATAAATAGAGCCATGGTCAGGACAACTAGCTAGAGTGGGGTGAGGAGGAACACATTCATTCACTGTAACATGAAGAAGTACAGAGTACAGCTCTAGGCTCAAATAATCTCAGACACAGGGAAGTCTGTTACTGAACACAATAAAATTTAATTTCCCTATCAAGCACTGTACCAGCTGCCCAGTTGTTATTTATAGTCCAGTATTTTAATGACTATAGTTTTGGATATTTTACCTCATTATCTCAGCTTTTGTTTTCTGAATACTCTGGAGTTGCTCAATTTCATCCCACTGTCCCCAGCATACAACTTTTTATTCTTCTTTCTGTAAGCTCCATCTCACTCTTCCAAACCAGTAATTTCTGAACTACATTCAAAAAGCATTACAACGCCTTACTCCAGTAACTGTTTGGGACTATCTGGCATACATACTCCATTATTGTAACTTCTCCTGAAAAAAGAATAGTTCCCCTTCCTTTAATCATTTTCTTGCCCTTCTCTGAACTACTTCCAACTCTGGCATCCTTCTAGACATTAGGTAATGAAAAATAACCCAGGACTATTTAATGTTCCCTACATCTAAGTAAACCACATTTTTCCCCTTTTACATCTGCAAGTCCAGATGTAAGGTATGAAAATATTTTTTCTGAAAGTCAAAATTCTAATAACATTTTAATAACATATGTTAAAAATCATTTTGAAAATAGTTCCATAATTTGTATCAAACTTTGAAACTCTCCCTTTATGATCCAGTTTCAACAGTCCTACTGATAAGTGCACATGAGCAGACTTCCTTAAGAAATGTGAGTTACGTGTAGTATAATCAGAAAGCTAATATAATTAAAGGCTAAGTTAAAAAAAGGATTGACCATTTCAGCAACAATCTTAAATGTTTTAAGCAAGTATTTTATAAGCATTTTTTAACAACTCATATAAGAATAGAGCTTTGCAAGCATTTCTTTGCTTACTTACAACTATAATTTGATCTCCCACATGGATTCTGCCATCTTGTTCAACAGCGCTGCCTTTTGTTATGCTTTTCACAAAGATACCAGAAGGTTCTGGTATGAAAAAAACAGAGCAATTTACACAGAGCAATTTACATTAACTCATAAATTAAAGAAACAGTTTAAATAATGCAAATAATTTACTACTAATATCATCAGCAAAGAGAGAAAAGAAAGAAATTACAATCTGCAGGGAAGGAAAAAAAATCAAGAACGTACATGTTTTAAATAAAACATATATAACATTATTTTCCTAAAAGATGATTCTCATAATGCTAGCTTGCACTGGACGTGATTTTACTCAAGATCTTACAACTCCAAATTCCCACTGGTTTCTACAAAAATAATATAAAATATAAAAATTCTAGTTTAATTTAATCTAAGTGCCAAAATCAACACTGGCCAAAAAANNCATCTATTTTTCTTCGTTAGATTTAAAATTGAAAGGCAGAAAATTTGGTTTAGGTACACTAATCTGGTGAATTCTGTATTTTCTGTACACTTAGTATGCTTAAAAAAATTGCGTGCTTGAGTAAATAAGTGCAGAATGTTACAAACAAGGACTAAAATGTTTGCTCAAACCAGCCTTCCAGTAAATCACTATTTGATCCAATTAAAAAAAAAAAATAAAAAAAAAAAAAAAAAAAGAGAAAAGCAGAAAAAAATCCAAACCTCAAGATAAATCCAGCTTAGATAATTACTGACTTTGAATCAGAAGAAAAAGTTAGATACACAAAATAACTATGGAAAGTTTAATTAAAAAAAAATTCCAAAAGCAATTTTGAAAAAAGAATCAGTTTCAGAAAAAAAACACGGAGAAACTTGAAACAACTTCATCTCAGTAAAGAGACATCCTACATGGATGACTGCAGTATTATATGTAAAACAACATTAGCATGAACTGGTATGAAATCAGGTCTCATGATCACAGCCCTGTAAATGGGTTTTATCAGCTGTCCAGATATACCAGTGCCTTCAAAGACCGAAAGACTTGTCTTATTTAACCTCATTATGACAAAATTTAGCAAAGCGGACAGTCAGATTTCTGGTTTGCTCTAATTACTATACTCAATTTATGCAAAGTAAGACAACACGTATGTTTAAATTATGAGAATGCCAATTGTTTTCTGGTTTTTATCAATTTGTTTTCCTAGGTTTTGTGAGTATTTAAATGGCTCATCTTCCTAGTTTCCAAGCATTTTTATATCCTGTAACACCTGCACAGTAAGATGACAAGCTGTTATTTGTCAGGTTAAAAAAAGATTTAACTACAATCTTCATTGTCCAGCAGTTTTATCGCTGATTCTGTCAGATAAAATTGTTCTTTACCTAATTGTTAAGTCATAAAATTAAGGATGCTCAATTAGCACCTAAGGCATGAAGACACTGTAATGCAGTCACACATAGCATAATAATTTAAAATCTATTCAGTGAAAATATGCTGTGACATCTATCGCATGTTCTAAGATTTTATTTGCCTCTTGAAGGTTTTACTGGAAGATACTAAAGAACATACTTAAATCAACCATGACTATTCTAACTTACGTAACAGTTTGTTTAAATTGCTTAAGCTTCCCAAAGACAGATAATTATGCCAATAATATGCAATATATCTACCCATAAATTTTCCTAACAACATGTATACAAGTAAGAGTCATAACCACAGTATTTTGAGAACGTTTAAGGAATATTTGAAAACTGTCCCTTCTTAACTGTGTTTTATTTGCCATATCCTTTTAGGGAGGCACCAGAGAGTTCTGAACCATTATTCTGAAAATTGTAGTTGAAATTACATAGAAAAAATACACAACTGTACATGAACACTGATGCACTTATTCACAGTGTGAATATGGGAGCCAATTAATAAGTTAACCTAAATCTGTAACAATCCAAGATATCAACAAACACTAGTATAGTCAGAGGGCACTGAAAGGAATTTTTGATCTGCTAGTTAATACTATATATGCTGCTTAAAAAAATATACACAGTAACGCTTCCTAAAACTCATCAGAATGTTAATGTGTTACCTTGTAAGAGTCTTTAAAACTGAAAATCTGATTTTAAACATCCAACCAGCACTCATAAAAGTGGTTCAATCCATATTAGTAATATATTTTGAAAACATAATCAGCCCATGCTTAAGCCAAGAGTGAATTTAAAACAAAATTATAAAAAAAATTAAAAAACAATTTGGGTTTTTCTAACAAAAACTGATTACTCCTAAACTAAATCTCTTACAAAAGGAAAATAATCCCATTTTCTTTAAAAAGGTATTAGATGATTAAGGATTTTTAAGAAATGTTATCCACAAAGTAAAGTTACATGCATCAAAATTTAATGCAGCTACACCTTACTACATGATAAGACTACAGGAATCTATAATTACCTGATGTTTTGTCTCCAATGTAACCAGCAATTGTTATTCCTAATCCTTGGATATTTTTAGTGAGTTCCACATTAAACTTCTCTCCTTCATCACAATTATCAACAGAAGCGTCTGTCTAATAAGAAAAATATTAAGAAAGCTTGTAATATTAGACATAGACATGAGAGAAAAAAAAAAAAAAGATACAAACTTTATTTTTGCTCATAAAAACAAAGACATTAAGCATAGGCAACATGTTTAATCATAAAGCAACACAAATCATGCCTTCTCCAACTCTCACCTCTAGGATATTACTCTTCAGCCTATAAAATCATTTGATGAGTAAAAATGACTAAAATTTAAAAAACTGAATAACAAACCTCTTCTAAATATTTCTAAATAACATATGATGTAGCTTACAGATTTTCTGGAACTTCCTAAAAATCAATCTTAGAGTGTCATCTTCTTAAAAATAAATTCTTCTCCCATTTGTCTAAATTCCTGTTCAATAACTACAACTATTTTTTCTTATGCATACAAGTTTAAAACAGAATTAAAGCTATTTAAGTGAGGCAATTATTTTTCTTGGTTTTTGGAAGACTTAAAATTTCTTTTTTAGACAGTAGCTATTAAAGTTCCCCTTAACTAAATAATGACAACTTCCAACTAACACCTACTGCATCCCTCCAAATGTCCACAACAAAGAATATCATGGCAAAGAATTCATATACTTTTTGTTAATGAAAATATCCATTACAAGAGAATGTATATTAAATTCACATTTCAATAGTAATGCTTTAATATTAACAGAAAACAAAATACAATTTAAAAATCTTAATCTCAACATTAAAAAATATTTTTTTTCAGAATTTTTATCTTTCAGCTGTCTGAAGTGTGTATTTACTATCTATTTCCATAGCTGACAAGTGTCAATGTATGGCTATATGTTTATACAGATATCAGTACTTACACATATATTTGAAATACCTATTCATAAATACAGTAAAAATCTATAATGAACCTGCTATACTCCTATTTCATGTTGCCTCTTTTGCATGATAATACAGGCTGTCCCGCTTCTCTCTTCCTTCCCACTCCTCACCCCTCCAAAAAGAAAAAGATACTTTAGGAGAGCTATGATACTATTTGCCAAAAGAGAATCTGACTTCTGATTTCAGTTATTTATCTGAAAAACTCCATCTAAAAACACAGTCAAGGAAAAATAACATTCTACTGCTTTAACTACCTCTTTACAATTTTGGAAGAATATTATGCTGTCACAAGAGCTTTATGCAGACTTCAGCCACTATGTTTTTGTAAGGAAGCAGACAAACCAAGGTGTTTCATCATCACCTTCACTTCACTGATGTTTAATACCCAGATTCAAATTGCTGAGGCTTGCAGCATCATTGAGTGTTCGCTCCTCCAAGAAGCCTTCGTGCAGGCAAAAGCAGTTTAAAAACAGTCTTCTGCCAAGAATGGTGTACTAGGGATAAAGTATTAAAAGCAAAGGAAATAAAGGTGGCAAACAAATCAGGCCTCTTGGAGGTTACAAAAGCTCTTGGAGCTTTTTTTTTTCAGTACATCAAATTCTACATATCCTGCAACTGGCCTCATTCTGTAACTACAGAAAAGCAAATGCTGAAGAAATATATACAGATGAATTATAAAAGTCAGCTTCCTTTCTCAAATTGTCACTTTACAAATAACTAATAGGTCATACATTATTCATTTTATATACAGAAACACCATGGTCTAACGCGTCAGTGCTTCAGAGACAGCAGCAGAGACATCACTCTCTCCTCTCCAGAATGAGTAAAAGTGTGCATGTTAAGATTAACTATCTTAGCTAACCTTATACTCATCTGGACTGTTGTGGTTATATCTGTTTCTTTTCCACAGATCCCATTACAACAAAGAGAGGTAAAAAAATGGCAGTCATGTAAGTATTTGCTAAAGAAGGCTTTTTAATTTTCACATATCTGAAAAGCAATTTGTAGCTAGCGAGAATATATCTAAAGAACAACAGGAAAAAGTAAAAGGAAAAATTATTTTCAAAGCATAAATTTTATCTATTCATAGGCTCAGAAGCAACTTTTTGTCTCATATTCCACATATTCACATTTAATTGTATCTGATTATAATTGCATGTGACAAACCACTAAGGGCTTTAAACTAGATTTGAAGCAGAAAGAGGATAAAAGCCAGCTGGCAAGAGATGAGCCTATGGGCTGAAGATGTGTGTGAGACCAGCAGAGCAGCTGAAGTCCACCTACGATGCTGGTGATAATCTATCAGATGGCATGCCACAGTCAGAGGGGCTGCATTCTAGTGAGATGCTTCAGTCTAATCCACAAGGCACTGGGTACAATGAAGCACATTTGAAATGCTTCTACGCCAGTGAATGCAAACATGAGGAACAGTTAAGAAGAGAGAAGCCTTGGTTCAGTCCAGAGCTATGATGTCACTGTTATAAGTGAAATCTAGTGGGAAAAGTCCTGTGACTGATGCGCTCTGATGAACAACTACAGGTTTCTCCAAAGAGACAGGCAGCGGAGGAGAAGCGGAGTGGTGCTTCTGTATATAATGAAGGGGCTGGACAGTACAGAGCTATCAGCTAGTGATTACATACAGTCAAGAGCCTTTGGTAATGACTTCTTCCAGTTAAATATTAATTTCATAGATATCTTTTCACAAATAATTAAAGTACCTGGTAAGGACTAAGAGACAAGCAACTAAAGATGATACTGCTGTGAGAATCCTCTATAGACCACCCAGCCAGGAAGGTAATACTGATGAATTTCTTCTAAGAAACTAAGAAAGACCTTTGCCCTTGTCCCTACGGAGGGCTTCAATTTGACAGACGTTAACTGGGAACACCACACAGCTTATACCAACAAGTCCAGGAGATTTCTAAAACACCTTTCTGGTACTAAGGGAACCAGTGAGGAAAGATGCCCTCCTAGTTGCTTGTGAACACAGAAGACCTCACTGCGGGCCATCATGAAGTAGTCAAATTTAAATTCTTTGGTGATAGGAGGAAAACTGCCATAAAAACCTCAACCCCAGACATATGGAGAGCAGATTCCAGACTGCTCGGGGAACTAATTAGGAAGGTCCCCTGGGATAATCATTTTGAAGGCACTGGAGCCCATCAGTGCTGGTCACTTTTTAAGTACCACCTCCTGAGAGCTAAGAAATAGGCAATTCCAAAACATCAGAAGTTAAGGAGGCAGGGCAGAAGGCCAGCTTGGCCAAACAGAGGGCTTCTTCTAAAGCTTAGGCAGAAAATGTACAGCCACATGGGAAGACTACAGGGATGCTATTTGCCTTTGCAGGGAGAAAATTTGTGCAGCTAAAGCTCAGTTTGAGTTGAAGCTGGCCAATACTGTAGTGCACAATACAAAGGGGTTTTTAAAATATATTAACAACAAAAGGAGGACCAGAGAGAACACTGGTTCATTTCTTGATGAGAACTGTCACCTTAAAAAAGGCACAGATGAAGATGAAGCACAGATACTTAATGCCTTCTCTGCCTCTGTATTCAACACTAGTAGTGGGCTCTGGGACCACAGATGCCCCAAGGTGGAGGACTGTGACTGTGGTAGCAATCAACTCCCAGACCATTCTGAATCGGATGTATAGAAATCCATGGAGCCCAACGGGATTCATACGAGGATTCCCAGAGAGCAGGTCAAATGTCATCACAAGACCCCTCTCAATTATTTTTCAGTGGTTTTGTGAGAAACAGAAGAGATTGAGTGAAAGCTGGCAAACACTGTTCCAGTTTTCAAGAATGGCAAGAAAGAAGACCCCAGTAATTACAAGCCTGTCACTTCAGTGCCTGGTAAAATTATGGAGAAAACTATGCTGGGAATTATTGAAGAATATCCAAGTGACAATGTGGTCATTGGTCACAACCAACACACTTTCATGAGGGGAAGGCTCTGTTTAACTAACTTAATTTCCTTTTATGACAAGCTGACCAAGGGAAGCCAGTTGATATCTTTTTGGATTTCAGTAAAGCTTTTGATACTGTTTCTCACAGTATCCTACTAAACAAAATGTCCAGCACATAGCTAGCCAAGAACCTAATGGGGTGCGTGAGCAACTGGCTGAGAGGTTGGGCCCAAAGTATTATTGTAAACAGAGTTACACTAGGCTGGCATCAGTCACTAGCAGGGTTCCCCAGTGCTCCACTTAAGGGCCAGTTCTCTTTAACATTTTCATAAATGACTTTGAGGTAGGACAAAAAGGTGTTTTTATTAAGTTTGCTGATGATACTAAACTAAGAGGAACTGCTGACTCCATCAAGGGTAGAGAGGCCTTGCAGAGAGACCTAGACAAATCAGAGAGCTGGGCAATCACCAACTGCTTGAAGTTTGACAAGAGCATGGGCCAGATTCTACACCTGGGAAAGGGCAACCCTGGCTATACTTAAAGACTGGGGGATAAGACACAGGAAAGCTGCCCTGCTGAAGGAGGTTCAGGGGTCCTGGTTGACTGCAAATTGAATGCGAGCCCAGTGTGTTCAGGCAGCCAGGGAGGTCAACTGTACCCTGAGGTGCACCAAGCATGGGATTTCTAGCCAGTCAAGGAAAGCGTCTGTTCTGTTCCTCTCTGCACTGGCGCAGACTCACACTGACAACCATATGCAGTTTTGGGCACCACTGTACAAAAAACACATAAAACTATTAGAGTCCAAAGGAGGGCTACAAAGATGGTGAAGGGTCTACAGGGGAAGACTTATGAGGAATGGCTTAAGCATCCACAACCACCTTGGGCAACCTGTTACAGTGTGTCACCACCCTCTGAGCAAAAAAAATTCCTCCCAATATCTAACCTAAATCTCCCCTGACTTAGTTTAAAACCATTCCCCCTTGTCCTCTCTATCACTATCCACCCTTGTAAAAAGCCACTCTCCCTTATGTTTATATGGTCCTTTCAAATATCAGAAGGGCACACTGAGGTCACTCCAGAGCCTTCTCTTCTCCAAGTGAAACAAACGCATTTCCCTCAACCTTTGTTCATAGGTGAGGTGCTCCAGTCTTCTGATCATCTTACTGGACCTCCTCTGGACCTATTCCAAGAGCTCCACATCCTTCCTGTACTGGGGACACCAGGCCTGGATGCAGTACTCCAGACGGGGCCTCACAAAAGCTGAGTAGAGGGGGACAATCACCTCCCTCTCCACCTCTCTTTTAATGCAGCCCAGGACACAGTTGGTCTTCCATGCTGCAGGCACACACTGCTGGTTCATGTCCAGCTTCTCATCTACCAGGACACCAAGTTCTTCTCCACAGCACTGCTCCCAAGGGGTTCTTCTCCTGGTTTGTATAAATACCTGGGATTGTCCCAACCCAAGTGCAGCAACTTGCACTTGGCCTTGTTGAACCTCATTAGGTTCTCATGTGCCCACTTCTCCAGCCTGTCGACTGATGATATGGAAATAAAAATGATTCTGAAGAGAAAAATTATAAGTAGACAGTGAAATGTTACAGAACCAGCATGCTCTGAAGAAAAAATTACACGGACACTTTCCAAAGTATTACTTCAAAATCACAAGCAAGTCCAAGGGTTAATCAATCCAGAAGTTATTCAGGCTATATCCTTATTTCCAGCCCTGCATCCTGGAAAGATTTAAGCATGCAGTTCCTTGCAATGTGGACTGATGACATTTAAAATCTCCCAGAGAGTACGATAAATACACTGCTACTGAGAATAAAAATACTGACTTTTGAGAAAATAAGCATGAAAGACATTCAAATAGAAATTAAAATAAAATTATGTTTGAAGTATAGGTTTGACACAAGTATATTTACTGTTGCTTACTTGTTTCTGTGGTGTCGTGATGGGTACTGGAGTACCTGGTGGGACTGCTGGTGGAGGTGGTTCCTCAACAGGACCTCTTGCAATTACCAGTTTCACTCGATTTCCACACTGCCTCAGAACTTGTGCCACCTGTTCACTGCTCATTCCAGTCAAGTCAGTATCACCGATCTTCAAAATGTGATCTCCACTACACAATCTCCCATGCTGGATGGGAAAAATAAATAATGAAGTCACTACCCTGCAATTTCTCCCATAAATAATAATATTAGGGAATGACTACACAGCTTTAGTAACCTGTAATACATATGAACTAGAAACTATTTGAATATCAAATCAACATCCTCATAGCATGGTAGAAAACAAGTGTGTTACCTAATGTCATACTAATTTTTCTAGAAATTTTTCAAAAAATATCTCAGACATTCTTTACTTAGGCAGTCACCTAAGCATGAAAAAAATGCACATAGTTATGGCTACCACCTGCTAATATGTAACAGTTACATGTAGTTTAGAGAATTCCAGGTTTCATTTACAAACACAGCATAAAAAGGTATACACAGCATTATGCTTCTGTTTAAAAAACAACACTCTTAGAATTAAGCAAAACTTAAAATAAAATACACTTCTCTGTTAGTGTGATCCAGTTAGTTATATTGTTTTACACTTCTATTTACTTAGGTTTATTCTCCTATTTAGCTAATTACAATGCTTCATAAGAATTTAGCCCATACAAAAGTATTAAAGTTTAGAAAATAAATTTGTCTATTTGCTCAGGGACAAGCTCAAAATGGGTTCTGATGACCACTTTCACATAGGTGGCTACACAGCCTGTGTTCTAAAGCAGACCTATGAAGGCAGACGCTTGCACTAAGTTTAAGAAAGCCTAACGGAGAGATGTATAATCACCATTCCTTTCACCTGCATGGGCAGAGGGGGCAAAATGATTACTGCCTCCTTGGATTACAACTCATATATTCATGAAAGAATTAGAGGTCTAAATGCAACAGCACCAAACCTACAGTAGGTGTGAAAAAGTGATGTGGAGCCTAATTCAGCTTCTATATTCAAACACACAGATTCCTAGCACCAAATAAATCTTTACTAAGGATAAGATTCACCATATACTTTCCTTCCTACACTTCAAAGTAAAAAGCTAGCACTGGTTAGTATAAGTACGAAAGTAAAGAGAAACTTCACACTGTACTGAATGATAAATAGAAGAGTTGGTTGAATTTACCTGATCAGCTACCCCTCCTGGGAGGATGGTTTTAACAATCACTCCTGTTGATTTTCCACCAACTATCCCAAATCCCAAACCTGAGCCATCATTCACCAGCTCTATGGTCTCCACATGCTGCCAGTGAACCTCAAAGAAAAAAAACATTAAATTTGCAAACAATAAAAATAAGGATTTATGTATTAACACTTATAAATATTTTCTCTTATTCTTCAGGTATGTTTTCAAATAAAGAAAGGTAGGAGGAAGCGTAGTCAACAGAACAGAACAGTTCAGTTCAGCTGGAAGGGACCTATGAAGAGCATCTAGTCCAGCTGCCTGAACTATTCAGGAATAAGCAAAAGTTAAAACATATTACTGTGGGCATTATCCAAACATGTCATAAACACTAATGATCACAGGGAATCAAGTATCTTGCTAAGAAGTTTGTCCCAGTGTTTGACCATTCCCACAATAAAGAATTCTTTCTAATGTCCAGTGTGAACCTCCCACAGCACAGCTTTGACACATCCTGTCATCGGTTAAGTGGGTTGTCATCAGTTAAGAAAGTCTAGCCATTCCTGAAAATGACTGCTGAGAGAAGTTATGCAACTATCTACGATTGTCCACCTCCTTGTCAGTGAGAAAATAATACTGCTGCTTCTAGGAAACCTCACAGAACTGGAAAACAAAACCTTCAAATATATGCATATTCAAACTGGCAGATGAAACATATCAGAAAGTATAAACCCCATTCAAAGACCAAGACTAAATGCAGCAGTAGATATTGCAAGTTATGTATTTACAGAATTTCTCCCTGTGCAGTGAACAAAGCTTTCGGAGTTGTCTGATGTCAGCAGCATTGCAATGAAATGACTCTGACTGTAGGCTTCATTTTGCAGCAGAAGTATAACTGCTCTGACAAACAGTAGTTCACTCAGTACAATACTGAACAGATGACTGGAATGTTCATGGTACTGTTTAGTATAAGAACAAATCACGTCATTAACTCATCTAAATTTAAAACCAGAGCTGATGTTCCGTCAGGAAGGACCTCAAAAATAAAGTGTTATTTTGGAATAAATCAAGATACTGCAAATACAATGCCACATGGTACTTCTTGGTATCCACAGTCTTAACATAAACCAAAGACAACAAAACAAATCCCAAACAAAAAAGAAGGCTTCAAGAAAAACTACTTTTCAAAAGCAATTAAAAACTAAAGGAAATGACTAGAAATGATTAGAAAAAACATGCATAAGAAAAAAAATGAATGAGCTATGGCAGGTTTTAAAGGAACATTTTTCAAAAGGCAGAAGATGTTTGGGAAATACAGAGGTAATCACAAAAAGAAACAAGTACACAACACAAATACTGCAAGAAAGCAGGCCTATCCTGTGTGCTGACAGGAAAGGGTTATCTGATCTGCAATATTTCTGCGCACATAAGGAAAAATTAAGGAAAGGTTTCTGAAATTCTGTTACCAAATGTTTTATGCTAATAGTTAAAATACACTAAAATAGTTGACAGACCACTCCATATACCTCTAGTTACAGACTACCCTAAAGAAGTCTTACAGATAAATGAACAGTGAGATCCAAAGATCCAACCCCAGGGGGAAGCAAAAATGTATCAGCTATTACATGAGGAAGATACTACAAAGAGAGAGGCATAGCACTACTGTTTCTGATTTATCTTCTCTTCAGCGAGATGTGTAAAAGCTTTCAAAAGCAGCAGAACTGACTTCTGTGCATCCTAAAGTGTGCCTCTACCTATGGCATTTTGATAGCTTCCTCTATTGCTTTATTTGAGACCCACTGCTATAACAGAACAAAGGAGCAGAGAAGTATCCACTGAGCTGGTCGTGCAGATTAGAATGCAGTTCCACAGAAATTTCTTTTTGCCCCCACAGAAGGGAAAAGGAGCTCTTGTTCACTGCTATCTTAAAACAGAACTTTATACATGAATGTAAATATGCTCTGTTTGCAATGATGAAGATACAGTTTGACAGATGGAAAGGAAGAGTATGGCCAATATCCCCACAGCAAGGCTAAGTATTTTCTACTCTTTGCATGGGACAAAGTGCAACAAAGATACCTGGAAGAAAAATATGCAGATGAAATAATATACAAGCAAGTTACAATAAAAAATCCCAAAATATTAGATGATCTAAATACATACAAACCCAGAACTGAATACACAGACATCTGGGTTATACTTACCGGGTTGGAATGGGCTGAAACTGTGCTAGCAGCAGATGGAGACCGAGAAACTACAGGACTGATGAGCTGAGGAAAATTGCCTCTGGCCACAACTAGCTGGACATTATCTTTTGCTTTCTGTAGGATGCTGATAGCCTGTTGATGTGTAATTGTCTGATCAAGGGCTTGTCCATTAATAGCAAGGATTTGATCTGCTTCCTTCAGCTTTCCATCTCTGTCACGTATGCATCAACAGGGAAGGGGGGGGGGGGGGGGTGACAAACCAACCAAACAAGAAAAATCAAAAAAGTGTTGCCACAGCAATTATAATATTTTGACAGTTTTCCAGTACTTTTAATATCCTCTTCTCTACTTCAACTACTTTTTAATCTTTCCCTGCAGTTCTGCTGAAAGGAGCTGATGCAGCACCCTGGTGATTGCTTCCTTTGAAGCTAATCCTTCTGCCACTCTCCCCTGGCTGCTACCCCCTAGCTAGCTTTCTTCTCCCTGTACCTCCATCCGAGACTAAGCATATTAGATCTCAAGTCACTCCCAAACATAGCCTGGGAACTTATGCTTATTCTCAACTTTGAGCCTCTTGCTTAACAGACCAATTGCTCTACTTTGTTCAGTGCACCCATTCTGAATATTCATCAAACCAAAGACTGGAACACACTTCCATCAAGATGTTATGGTATCTAGTTTTCTTTTGTACAAACCAAAAAAAAAAAAAAAAAAAGGAGGGGAAGGAGGTGCACAGAGAAAAAACAGAAAAAAAAAAATCATAAAATAGATCCCTTTTAAATGAGAAAAAAAGGCATGAATAAATTATAGAATAATTCTTTACTTTCTGACAAAGGAAGCACTACTGTAAAACTACATACCGAGCCCTTCCCTAGATCCACTTCAAATGAACTGTATAAAGCCTACACAGACAAGTTATCCTCTGCCTCCTTCACTGCTTCTATTTGTTTCACAACACATCAACAGGGACACTGGCCACATCTGCAGTATTCTAAAGTGGCAGTGCTTTACAAAACAAAGGGCAGTATTGCTCATAAGAATCTATATTACACCAGCTTCTATACTACAAGTAGTCAACAACATTCACAAAAAAAAACAAAAAAAACAAAAAAAAAACTTTAACACATAAAATTTTACTTGTGAATTTGAACTATTTGCCAGAGTGCTCTGGAATATTTATTTCTACCAGGACCTTTCTGATCTTTCTGATCATTATTTTAAGAACTGTAGTAGTGATTAATGCTAGGCTGCATGGCTCAGAGTGCCAAGTGAAGCACATGTTCATACCACAAATATACAGACTCAATTGTAGTGTGACATTAACACACATTAACACAGTAAAATATTTTAGTTGTCATCTTACCTATGTGCCACACTTCCCTCCTGGATTTCTTGCACAAATATTCCTAGTTCTCCTCTGTTTTCACTCTTCAGCCCCACAACACTGAAGCCCAGGCCACCACTCAAAGGCTTAATAAGCTCAACTGTCTCAACAGGACGACCCTGTTAAGCAGAAGAAATAAATAGGTACAGATATTAAAAATGTCAAAGAGCAGAATTAAAGAATGTGGTAAACAATTTGTTAAATGAATTTTCAATTTGACCTCTACTGCTGGACAAGGTTACATAAAGCTAGTAACTGAAACACAGTTATTCAGTTCTGAAATGTAACAATCATATTAGCATGGTAACTATTACTAAAGATTTGAGAGACAGAAGAGGAAAAAACAGGAAAAATCAGTTCAGTATAGAGCTCAGGTTCAAGAGTGACAAAACTAGGATATTCAGATCTGTACAATTTCAGAGGGTACAGGACAACTTTGATGCAGGACAAGAAATAAAAGGATGGAATTCAAAGAAAAAGTAGAAGTGTGCAAAAGGCTTTCTAGAACATCAGAAGACTTCCCATATCCAGCTCTTTCAAAGGTTAATTAGAAAAATTCCAGAACAGATGCATGGCCTTTCTCAGCCACAATCTGATTCACACACAACTTCTGCCTACCACAGAATCATAGTAAGATTACAGAACACTACAAAGTAAGGTCAGAAAGCAATTTTTCATCTTATTTTCAATGACACAGAATAATTAGCTTTAGTTAGTTATGTACACAAAAGCATGCTACATCGAAATGTATCTTGCATACATGCATCAGTGACCAGAGAAAGACAACAGCATTCAGATCTGTGAGTGTCATACTGCCCAGCTAAGGACAGTATCAGCAGAAACAACGTCAAGGCTACTTTTCCAATACTGCTTTCTTATGTACCAGTTGCTTCTCACATTAAAAGGTTGGTTTTTTTGTTTGTTTGTTTGTTTGTTTGTTTGTTATAGGAAGTATGTTACTCTTTTGTCACATTTCAGGATTAGCAGAAAATATGGTTACCTGGGACATACTTCTGATCAGTTGCTCAAAGTCATCACTAGAGGATTTCGCATTAATCTGTGGAGTAATGGATCTCATTGATGCCTCCAGCACATTAGCTGGGCTGCCATTCTGCTGAGCCAACAAATATGACTCATTATGCGGTAAGGACCCTACATTCACACCATGATGGAGAAGCTGGGGGAATTCACCAGTGGAATGTACAGAAGGAGTAATATTTACCTGAAAAAGATTGATAACAACACATTTATGGATACACCAGAGTTCTTCCTACTTACCATTAGGCATCATGACTGGCTAATAGCTTTTAAAAAATATTATAGATCCCAATTTCTGACTTTAGAAATATTATTTAAAAATTCTTAAAAAAAATTAATATTTGTAGTTGATGACAGTTGTAAATTATTAGCTAAAACATGACAGAAGGTGAAAATAGCAGACTGAAGTACTCTAACACTGCATTAGTAGTGAACAACTGAACAAGCTTTTTCTATGCTGCAAAGTTTTTGGAAAGCAAATTGTTCAATTACTTTACAAGAAAAAAAAAAAAAAAGTATGCACATTTTGATGAAGGAAAAGAAACCTAATCTATGATGTAGGAAACAATGGTCTGAATGAAATTTCACCAGTCTGGGTTTCTCCACCATTACATATTAAGGCAGTCTCTGTGACACTCCACACTTCAGACATGCAAACAAAAATACCAAGCAACTCTAATGTCACTAGGCTGATCTGAAAACCAGACATATACAGACAGATCTGACAATACTTTTTTGTTACAGCAGAAAATAAGAGAAGTACCTACCTTGTCCAGACCTAGTAAATAACCTAATTTCATGCAGGTCTCAAATGGCCAATCTAATGAATGTCTGGGAATGAGGGAACAGAGATACTACTTCATACAAATGCATAAAGCTCAGGAGAAGAAGCCCTCAGTTACCCACTGTTTCACGTGACTGTTGACTATCAACAACGACTTTTACTTTACAGCAGTTTCACACATTAATCTCACTTTAGGGCCACATCACTTTGGCCTCAGGTACATTTAACAGACTCACAGTGCAAAAATTCTAGCAATCTGTACCACAGAGAGAAAATTGATTCTCCTTCTTCATAGCCTTCTTTGTAAATTTCAAATATCAAGAAAAATAATCTCAGTTTGTGAATGTAATCTAAGATGGCCATTAAACCAGTTTCAACTGTTTAGGCTATTGCCTTTAAATTTATCACACTATTCTCCTAATGGTCTGATCAGAAGACTATCAGTATAATTCTTCACCACAGAACTCCCTCTCACAGAATCACAGAATTGCCAGGGTTGGAAGGGACCTCAAGGATCATGAATCTCCAACCCCCCTGCCACATACAGGGCCACCAATCATCCCACCTAATGCTAGACCAGGCTGCCCAGGGCCCCATCCAATCTGGCCTTGAACACCTCAAGGGATGGGGCATCCACAACCTCTCTGGGCAGCCTGTTCCAGCACCTCACCACTCTCTCTGTAAAGAATTTCCCCCTGACATCCAACTTAAATCTCCCTTCCCTCAACTTAAAACCATTTCCCCTCGTCCTGCAGTTATCTACCCTTTCAAAGAGTTGATTCCCCTCCTCTTTGTAGGCTTCCTTTAGGTACTGAAAGGCTGCAATGAGGTCACCCCGCTGCCTTCTTTTCTCCAGGCTGAACAAGCCCAGCTCCTTCAGCCTGTCCTCATAGGGGAGGTGCTCCAGTCCCCTGATCATCTTTGTGGCCCTGCTCTGGACCCTCTCCAACAGTTCCCCGTCTTTCTTGTACTGGGGGCTCCAGACTTGGACACAGTACTCCAGATGGGGCCTCACAAGAGGAGTATAGAGGGGGACAATCACCTCCCTGTCCCTGCTGGCCACCCCCCTTTTGATGGAGCCCAGGATACCATTTGCTTTCTGAGCCGCAAGGACACACTGCTGGCTCATGTTAAGTTTTTCATCTATCAAGACCCCCAGGTCCTTCTCCACAGGGCTGCTCTCAAGGACCGCTCCTTCCAGTCTGTAGGGATGCCTGGGATTCCTCCGGCCCAAGTGCAAAACTCTGCACTTTGCCGTGTTGAACCTCATTTGGTTTACCCGGCCAACCTTTCTAGCCTCTCGAGGTCCCTCTGAATGGCATCCCTTCCTTCAACCATGTCGACCACACCACTCAGCTTGGTGTCATCAGCAAACTTGCTGAGGGTGCACTCAATTCCGTCATCGATGTCATTGATAAAGATGTAAAAGAGCACTGGTCCCAAGACAGACGCCTGGAGGACGCCACTCGTTACCGGCCTCCACCTGGACATAGAACCATTGATGACCACCCTCTGTCTGCAGCCTTTCAACCAGTTTCTTATCCATCGAGTGGTCCACCCATCAAAGCCACATCCGTCCAGTTTTGGAGATAAGGATGTGGTGGGGGACCATGTCAAAGGCACCTTTCCCTTGTCCACCGATGCCGTCACTCCATCATAAAAGGCCACTAGATTGGTCAAGCATGACCTTCCTCTCATCTAGGTGCTTCAGGAAAACGTATCAAAATGAAGGTCATTTGTTGAATATCCTATCAGTCTGGAAATAAGTCTCAAGTTACAGAATAATCAAAAGTAACATTGGAAAGAAAAGCCCTCAACAGCATCAAGCCTGCTTGGCCATAACAAAATGGAAAACAAGAAAAATAGGATACTTTTGAACTCAAGTGATTTTCACTGCAGTGACTATGTTTTGTTGGCCAAGTTTAGGAGGAACTACTTGTTACATTTCAGACAAATCAGAATACCTAAAACATACACACATAAACTTTATTTAACTGCATACAGTCATTTTTGCAAACCTATAAAGAACAGACTGGTAAATTTTATTCCACAGTAACTGCATTCAAGAACAGTCCAATCTCCCTTAGGTTTGTACGTGTGGATATAAAACTATGAAAATCTCTGCTCTACTGTGTTTTTTCATTGGCTGGAGTCCACGCTACAGATTAATTCACCTTCACCTTCCCAATGTCAACTACTTCCATGTATAAATGTTTTCACTGAACTTGGTCAACGTGCTTAGTTTTTGTGCTCCTCCACCTTCAAATTTACTAACGCACTCTCCTGCCATATTCCTTCCTATACAATTTTCATGGGTACAATTATTATTTATAAAAATATTTTATACCATTGTAATTCGCATGCCTCATATTATTTCTGTTTAAAAACATTTTCAAATTGTCACAGCAATCAGAGTGAATGAGATACAAATTCAAACTGCTTCCTGTTAAACTCAACGGCCACACCCCAGAGATACGGTATTACAAATTTTAATCAGTGAGGTATATGTTTATTTTCCAAATTCTGTGCTCATTGAAAAAAAAAAACAAAAAAACAAAAAACACTTAACTACCAATCCTGCTGAAAATTATCATCCTCAAATTTTGCTTGGTTGAAGGAGTAAGAAGAGAAATCATCACCTTCATCAGAAAAGCGAGCAACAGTAGTCTAAACAAGGCAACAGCACTTGTGAACAAAATGATTCTGCTCCATGAAGAGGTGACAGCTCATAAAACCTCTCCATGGACCTTCTGAAGACTTTGGAGTGGTGATTTCAAATTATGCTTCAGCTGGCATGATTAAACCTTGAGAAAAATACATTAAATATTTAGATTTCATTTAGTACAGTTCCAAGCACAAAATTAGTTCGTCTTGGGACCCATTTAATGTGGCAGAAACTTGAAGTTTTACCTGCCAGAACAGCAAGAAGGGTCACTGGTACTGCCATCAGTTCTGTGAAACCCATGTGTGCATGAAAACACAGTTTTGAATAGAGTGTGTATTCATCTTCCCAGACAAAAGAGGGAAAATAAAGATTTTTTTTTTTTTTAATGATTGCTAAGAGCAAAATGTGAGATTCTGTAAGCAAAAAAATAAATAAATAAATATTAAGATATATAGCGATCATCTATCATCTTTCCATCATGTATCAGCATTCCCAGTCAGCTGGAGAGGTCCCAGAGGATTAGATGCTTGCCAAAGTGACTCCAATCTACCAGAAGGATTCAGGGAACTACAGGCCTGTCAACCTGACCTCAGTGCCAGGTAAGGTTATGGAACAGACCATCTTGAGGGAGATCACATGGCATGTACAGGACAACCAGAGGATCAGGCCTGGCCAGCATGGGTTCATGAAAGACAGGTCCTACTTGGTCAACCTGATCTCCATCTGTGAGTGACCCACCTGGTGGATGAATCTGCCTAGATTTCAGCAAAGTCTTTGACACTGTCTCCCACAGTATTTTCTTGGAGAAGCTGGCAGCCCATGGCCTGGCAGATACACTCTTTGATGGGTAAAGAACTGACTGGAGGGGTGGTGAAGAAAGTTGAATGCAGCTGGCAAACAGTCACAAATGGTGCACCTGAGGCCTGTCCTCTTCAATATCTCTGATGACCTGCACGCACCCTCAGTAAAGTTTGCAGACGGCACCAAATTTGCACGAAGTGTAGATTTGCCTGGGGGAAGAAAGGCCCTGCAGAGCTATCTGGACAGGCTAGACAGCTGCGCTAGACCAATGAGATGAAGATCAACAAAATCAAATGCCAGTTCCTACACTTTAGACACAACCACCTCCAGCAATGCTACAGGCTTGGGGAGAGTGGCTGGAAGAATGTGTAGAGGAAACAGACTTGGGGGTGTTGGTCAATTCTTGGCTGAACATGAGCCAGCAGTGCGCCCAGGTGGCCAAGAAGGCCAACAACATCTTGGCTTGTATCATAAATACTGCTGTCAGCAGGACCAGGGAAGTGATCATCCCTCTGTACTCAGCTCTAATGAGGCTGCACCTTGACTACTGCATTCAGTTTTGGGCCCCCCACTCCAAGAAAGACATCAAGGCCTTGGAGCATGTTCCGAGAAGGGCAGTGAAGCTGGTGAGGAGTCTGGAGCACAAGTCTTATGAGGCATGACTGAGAGAGAGCTGGGACTGTTTAGTCTGGAGAAGTGGAGGCTCAGGGAGACCTTATATTTCTCTACAAATATGTGAAAGGAGGTTGTGTTGAGGTGGGAGTCAGCCTCTTTTTCCACGTAACTAGCAATAGGGCTAGATGGAATGGCCTCAAGTTGCACCAGGGGAGATTCAGGACATTAGGAAATACTACTTCTCCAAGAGAGTGGTCAAGTGTTGGAACAGGCTGCCCAGAGAGGTGACAGTCACTATCCCTGGAGGTGTTCAAGAAGC